GGTTTAGGGCTTTTAGGGTTGGGGTTTGGGGGTTTAGGGCTTTTAGGGTTGGGGTTTGGGGGTTAGGGTTAAGGGCTATGAGGAGATTATAAGACGAGGCCTTTTTGAGGGACTATATAGGTCATCGCCAAGGGCTTGGAGGCCTATACAAAAATGGGCTTCATGGAGATTACATAAGGACTGAGGGCAACAAAATTATATTCAAAGCTGCTCCGGCTGGGTGTAGGGAAGAAGGTTTCAGGTTTAAGGTTTCAGTTTTCGGCGGTGTTGGGGTTGGGTGCCCGGCATCGCAGAAAAAAGACGGTCCGCCTCTATACCCACACGAAGACGTAGCAGCTGCCGTAAGGATCCTCAAAGCGCAATTCTGAAAACATCCCAAAGCTTGCCCTCCAGCATGAAACCATCCCCAGATACCTAGATCTTTTTTGCCATGAGCCCAAACCCCAAGCCCAAACAAGGGCTTCCAAAAATCAGTCCTAATAAAAAGGATTATCATAGTACTTTGGAGTCGATATTGGGGTCTCCCTGTTGGTGGTGGAAACTACCATTCCTAGGTAGTTCTCAATGATCCCTACATATCCCTTTTGTGGGTATTTGGTCCGTCTACATAGGGATCCGGAGGAATGTCAGTGACTGTATATGTTGGGTGTCCATTTTTGGGACCTCTGTAGCTTTAAGGGTGTCAGGCTGTAGGGTTATCTTGCTGGTCGTTAGCATGGAAACAAGGATTGGAGAATACAATGGAAACCAATACGTAGGGTTTAGATCAAGGCCACTTTGAAAGCCTGCATAGCTAGGCTTTTTGCAGAAGGCCCTTCTCAACCTTCCTGGCTTCTCATGATTCACCCCTAAACCCTAAACCCTGAACCCTAAACCCATAAGCAGCCTCCACCCTTTCCTGCCATATCCCAGCTTTGATCCTTAAATCAAAGCGAAGGCTCCAAACGCCAACCCTGAGCCACCTGCACTCCCATACGGCTTAGGGTTTAAGGATGAGGGTTTAGGGTTTAAGGTTTAGAGTTTGGTTAAGGGTTTAGGGTTTAGGGTTTGGCGAGCCCAGCAGGGACCTACAAAGGCAACCGGCCTTTTGAGGGGGTCTGCATGGGCTACGGAACTTCTTATTCCCTGTTACTCTGTAAGCTTAGCCTGATCACACATTTTTGCCTGAACCTAGCCCATAAACCCCAAAACACTAATCCCTAAGCCGTGAACCCCATAGTCCTAAACCGCTGAGCCCCTCTCCCTAAACTCTAATCCCTATAACCACTTAACAAACCCACGTTCCATTTAATGTTCCCCGTTCTTTTGCATGTGGTTCTCCATTTGTTTGGATAAGCTATTTCCTTATGCACTAAAAGCCTTAAAGAAAAAAAGGCAGCCCTACACTCTAAACCCTAAACCCTAAACCCTAAACCCAGTTGCCCGAATCCAGGAGGGAAGGAGATCTTCCCAACCTCCACCTTCACCACGCAGCCCCCTGCCTGCAACAGTTTAGGGTTTAGGGTTGGTCAACCCTAAACCCTAAACCCGCGTTATGCTAGGAACAAAAAGGGTCCTGTTTACATAAGTATAAGGAAGCCCATACCCCAAAAAGTAGAGAGGATCCCTGACATTGATCCAGAAACCCTCAAGACCCTAAACCCTAGGGTTGGGGCTTCCAATACACAGCTTAGGATGCAGGGTCTTGAAGGCAAGGTTAGGAGTTGAAAGTTTGTGGCTCAATGCTGAGAGCTTCAGGGGTGTGGATGTTAAGTTTGGGGGTTGGGGTGTGCAGGCTTGGCGCCCTAGGGTTCAAGGTTTTAGGAACTGAGGAAAAATAAAGACTAGATTCTCCCAGCCATCACTCACACCACCGTTGATGTAGATTGGCAACATAGCTTTCGGATGCCTGGTGGTCAAATATGCAGCTTTTTGCATGGGTTTTTGCACTGTCAGCCTGCCAGAAACCTATACCCGCTACCCTAGACTGATAAATGAAGACTGACGGGATCCATACCGCCAGATGACATCGAAGTGTCTAAAAACCAGCAGCCCGACCACATATAGTGGAGTTCTGTTATGGAAGCCCAGGGCTCGAGAAAACCGACAGCGGATAGCTCTAGCCCCAGCACGTAGTGCGCCATAGACATTGCGACTGTGCACTCACCAAGCTGGCATCGCAAGCTTCGTAAGAAGCGTTCCGTGGCGCGAGTGCGACTCCGGCAGGGCCACCATATACAGAGGTCTATTGCTGCACTTCTTCCTCATCACGGTACTCCTCCCCACTGGTGCAACCGTGTGCTTTCTGGATTTTCTCGTAGAGTGAAGATGTCATGGAAAGGATGGGGAAAGCCGTGGCGAAAAGGCAATGGTGCGGATGGCTATGCCTCAGCTGCCTCTTACTATACCTTGGAGTGGGCAAAGGCAACTGGACGGAGAACAAAGGTGGCTACAGAAAGGACAACAAGAAGGAGGACTCCAAGGTCCTTTTCCCCTCCTACAACCAGCAGCAACAATCCAACATCGTGGTGATCGCGGAGCAGAAGCACCAGCAGTCCCTCAAGGGAGCCGAAGACGACGATGTTATCAAGGAAATCCAGCGAGCAGTGAATGCTGCCCGCAAGGCAGAACAGAAGGTCGCCAAGCTCCAGGCCGACTTGCAGAAGGGCCAAGCACAATGGCGTGGGTACGAGCAGGCTTTGAAGAAAGCCTATGCCTCAGAAAGAGCAAAGTTCTTGGGCGACCAGACCAAGTTGAGGCAGGACTTGACGGAAGCGTTGGCTGCACAAACAACCACTCGTGGTGCGCTCCGGGCAGCAGCAGTGAGGCAGCTGCAGGATGCTGGGACAGTTGCTGCCGGCCCAGACGTAGAGATGGACGATGCCTGGATGGCCCTCATGAAGGATACGTCCTTTGTGGAAGAGACGGAGCAGAACCAGGAATTGGATGGCTGGCTCCGGGAAGAGTTGGAGAGGATCGGCAGCCCCAACACTGCGGCGGCCGCGAAGGCCAAGATTCTTGCGGCAATGAAGGGAGAGCCCTTGCTTTCTGCTGGCGACAGAACTTTCACTCCATTGAGGCCTACCCGTACTGGCTTGCCTTCGCCTACAAAAGGAGACCCTGTGGCTGGGGACAAGCCTGGGGAGCGGACTGCAAGAGCACTCTTCCCCTTTGGAAGTCCGCCTGGACGTGCGAGAATGGAAGAATTGATGGCAGTCACCAAGGCAACTCAGTACAAGGGCGATTCGCCAGCCATCTCGGATCCCTACCTGGCCTCTCCGTCCCACTGTCTGTGAAGTCCCGGAAGTCGCCTCGTACTGGAGTCAAGGACATTGCCAGACCCAAAGCCGAAGCCATCTCTGGCAGACAAGCTCATGGCAGCAAGGGCTACAGCTGCACAGAGTCAGAAGAATGCTGGGCCTCGCCATGTTACAGCGGACGTCTTCATCGACGACGATCACGATCACCTGGATGTGCCGGTACCCTCTGGATCCGACCTGGACCTTCTGGATGGGTGAAAGGCTTTCTGCTGATTGAAGCCCTGACCTCCTTTTCATTCCTGGATTTGGGCGTTCTGGGATTTGATTGGGTTCAGTATTTGACGCGTGGACAGATGATGCTGGGGTATTGCATTTCGCTGTCAATCTTTTCTTTCGAGACGAATCTTTTGCCCTGGACCGTAAGAGTCTGGATCAACTGCTTTGGTACTTCTGGGTCTAAGAACATGCAACTTTCTGCGATGTTCGATTTCTTTTTGGAGCATAGATGGGACGGCGGTGGATTATATTGGACGCTGGCCTCTTCAACCAGGAACCACTTTGTCTGCCTTGGAGTTCCATTGCAATTCTTGGACCTCCTATGTGCACTACTTGGCTGGGCTGCTCCTTGTGAAATCTGCCTGCCTGTGAGGTGTTGTGGAAGTCTGCAATTCTACTTTGGGGTGTTTGTTGCGCAGCCCTTTGAGTTCGTTTCAATACTTCTTTCGTCACCGCTTTGGCGACAATTTCTTGTCGAGCCTCCTTTGCAGCTGACTGAACAGGGAGATGTTCTGCACCGGCAAAATTTGTCGTCACCTGCGAGGCCCTACGGAAATCAATGTTTCTCTTCTGCTATATCCTTTGGCTGCGTGTTTGATGGGGATGGCGAAGCTTTACTTCATTTCAACCCTTTGAAGCAACGGGGGGGCTGCACTGTACTGTGTGGTCTCGTGCCGACGGAGCTTCACTTTGCTTTGAACGGACAAGGCCGTTCTGGATGCGCTAGTGCAGCTGACTCCAATGAGGCTGCTCTGGGACCTGATTCTCACAGCTTCTCTGTTGCTGGTATGTTGCAGAACTTGCCTATTACAATGGCCAGCGGTTGGAAGAGCCTGCTACGATGTATACATAGCTGGATTCTTGCTATGCTTCTCTTGACTGGAGAATCTGCTGCCACCTTCTTCAAGACGTTGGGCATGATTTGTCTGCTTTATCAATGTAGACTTCTGGCCTTTGCTTTAAGATTGAAGGGCGGCTCATGCAATCCTGATGCTATCATTCGCGGACTTAGAGCCCTGTGCCGTGGTGCTGGCTGGCATTGGGGCTTGCCACTGGCGCATTTCTCTCCTTGGCAAGATGATCTCTGCAATCAGCCACGGAGATCTAAGCGCCAGGCCACTCGACTTGGCTTCTCGAAGGACCTTTTCCTCCTGATCATGATCTTCTGTGCTCTTTTCGGAGAAGTCAGCGCTGGTTCTGGCAGGTCTGATGGACTGGACCCGACAGGCTTTCGGGCTCGTCGGAGAGCTCGCAACAAACAAGCCAGCCTGATCCACCTCCGACATGTGGCCAGAAACTTGGATTCTCCGCCCTCTTCCGACTCGGAGGCCGATGACCATTTCCTTTGGCACTACTTTCGCATCTTTGGCATTGGCATGTGGTCGGAGGTTATGGTTCGGGAGTTTAGGGTCGGAGCCGGCATCAGAGCTGTTCTTGAGATGCTTGAGGTGGATTCTCAAATTGGTCAGCTAAGTGTCTCTGGCGGACTGGCACCTGTGCGTGGCATGCCTTTGCATGACTATGTTGCTGCCGTGTGGGTTCCTGACTGGACACAGCACGTGACGGGGCCGTCTTGCTGATTGACCCGTCACTCATTGGCAAAGAGCCTTTCTCGATATGGTACCCGTATGGCCATATTTCCTTGGACCGTCTCTTTGAGCTGCTTTCTGCGATTTGGGAACCTGGTATAGTGGTCTTCTCGCTCTACCGTTCGCAGCAGCCTATGACAGCTGATAGCTTGTTCCTGGCTCGAAATGGGACAGCCATTTGCTTACAGTTTGACGAGATGGCACAGTTCTCATATGCAAATGAGTATCAAGCGTTCAACTCCTATGCCTGGTGGGGACTGAATATGCTTGATCAGGATGATCCATCGGATTTGCAGTGGGAAATTTCGCATGTCCAACTAACTTGTGCAAATGACACCTTCCCGGTGTCAGTTGGGCCTGGGGAGCTCACCTGGCAAACTTTGAGAACTATTGCCCTTCGCTTTACAGAGGAGCCGGGCGACATCAGGACACAGGTGGCCAGTGAGATCCCAGAGCGCTGCACATATACGGGTGTCCCGGTTAAACATCTGGTTTTCTGCGCAGCTGGTCGACCTACCAATGATGAGCTCGTGGTTTTTCTTGATCTCAGGGGGGATTGGCTGGGATGGCAGAGCAGCTATTCTTCCTCATGGACGCTTTACTTCGGATGAGCTGTTCAATGCCCTGGAGCTTTACATTCCTGCAGTTCCTGAATGTCGAGTTCATTTTTCTGGTGGCCGTCGTAGTGGCCGCAATTGGACCTTTCAAGATGGAGATGTTATCTGTTTCAGGTACATCCCTGATGTGCCTTCTGAACCTCCCGAGGCCTCAGAGTCTGAGCCCAGTTCTCTCAATGAGTATGACGAGTGCCTCGACAGTGATGCCACGGGCCCCCTTGACTTCCAGGAAGATGGCCCTGACCCCAGCGAACATGAGCCTGCATCTAGCTCTGGAGGCCGGTTTGGATCGGCGACTGCTAAATATGTCCAGGATGACTCTGGAGATTCTTTGACCATCTTGGCTGCTGACGGCTCCTCAAGTATGTGGAACGGTGCGGTTTTACAAGACGCCCTCCTTGGAGGCACGCACGGGGACACCCCTACTGAGGAGCTCGAGCATTCCGGGTTACTGCAACACTGCGGTGAACATGATCTTCACTTTGTTGATGCGCAAAGCAAAAAGTATCACCGGTCATGTCGTGGTGCACCCTTGCCTGGTTTCAAATGGGGTTTAGTGGGTTTGATCCTCTACAGCCAGTGTGTCAATGCAGCTGGGGTAGTCCACAAGGACGCTGAACAACGCGTCTCGCTTCCAATTCTCGATGATTCTGGTTTGCTTCATGCCTCCTTTGATTCGCAATCCTCCTGCTCGCATGTCCCGAAGTCTGCTGACTGGATTCACTGCAGTGCTCTGCAGGGGCAAGCTGATCTTGAACCTGTCTTTGCTAACGGAACTGGGTCTCAGTTTCCTCAGGACGTCATTATTACTGCGCTTGAAGAGGGCAAAGGTGCTGCTTTTCATACTACTTGCGCGGAGCTATGTTGGTTCTTTTCGTGGATCAAGGACAAAACGGGTATGACCAACAGTTTCTGCGAGTCAGACGGTCCTGCTTGTGGGCCAGCAGCTGGATACATCCATGTTGATGGGAAGATTCCCTTGAACTTACATGATGCCTTGCAGCTTTGTGACAATGAGCAGCCTCCAGGCTCGTCCCGCCCTGCAAAGGTTGAGTTGCCTGATGATTGGCTGCTACCGGAGGTACTCTTCTTGCCGTGGCCTGACTTTGACCTAACTTCCAATGTCTCTGGTTGGAACCTCCATGAGGCAAGCGTCATTGCCCTGCATCTGTCTGACCCGCATAGCTGCTGGACGAACAATCAGTGGGACCTGCATCTATACACTGATGGCTCAGCCAAGGACAATACAGCAGGATGGGCGGTTGTCATTGTTGCCTCAAGTCCAGACACTGGCCGGTGCTCTTTTCTTGGACGCTTTGGAGGCAAGCTTGGAGATATGGACGATCTTGGGTCATCCGCCGCTGTTGCGCTGCAAGCGGAGCAAACCGCCTTACGCTGGGCATGTCTCTGGATTCTTCCGCAGCTTCATGGTCTTGGCGCCTCCTTCAACCGTGTCTTCTTTTGCTGGGACTGCCTTGCTGCCGGCCTTGGAGCCAGCGGGGACTGCTGCTTGGCGGATACACCGCTTGCCGGACCCCTTAGAGGTCTTTTTTTCATTGGTTCAGAAACGAGGCGGGCAACATTTTCTGGGCAGGCATGTTAAAGCTCATGAAGGGCACCCTTGGAATGAACTGGCTGATTCGGCTGCGAACCACTTTCGCATTGGGACTGCCTCACGGGGATTGAGCCAGGTGGCTGCTGCATTCCGCCAGGTTGATTGGGCATGGGCTCCTTCTTTGGACACGCTTGGCATGCCGCCGGTCTTCTCAGCTCCCGAAGGTATCTCCTGGCTTGTCAATCGAAGGCAAGGACTTGGATCTGCCAGCCTCAGCCATTCCCATAGACGAGTCTGCGGTTCCGGATGCCCCAAATGCAGGTGAACCCAGGTGGCTTGGTGTTACAATCAAGGCCCTTAGTGCGAATGTACAAGGTCTTGGGGGCAAGCAAAAATACTTGGAGGCCCAGCTTGCTCGAGATGAGTTCGATTTTGCATTCTTTCAGGAGACAAAAGTCAAGGGAGGATCGTTTTCCTCGCCGGCATATCACCGCTTTGCTACTGACCATGAGTGCCATTGGGGAGTTGCTATCTGGGTCAGAAGGTTTTTGCTCATCAATGGCAACCTCACTTCTGTTGCCCCCACTGATTGCCGTGTGCTGTTCAGCGAACCCAGAGCGCTGGCCATCACCCTTCAGGTTTGTGGTATTTCGATCCTTTGCATTGCCGCCCACCTGCCCCAGCAACAACACGGCCGCGAGTCTCGCGATGGTCTTTTGACTTCTATCAAGGCGCTTTTCAGGCCGTCACGGCGATTTGATATTGTGCTTTTTGGTGTCGATGCCAATGCTAGGCCACCCTGTGGGTTTGATGGTGTCACTGGAGAAGTTGAGCACGGGGAACCTGATCAATTTGGTTTCGATTTTGTTGACTTTCTCCATGATGTTCAGCTATGGATTCCTGCAACCTTCTCTGCTTGTCACAATGGCCCAACAGCCACATGGCGGCATCCACATGGCCATACCTCGAGGATTGACTTCCTATGCGTTGGTGGCTCGGCCGGCCATGAACATGTGGACTCCTGGACCGACATCGACTTTGACCTGTTGACCGCTGTGGAGGATCACAGTGCTGTGGCTATTGGCGGTAATTTCTGGGTTGGTGGTGCTAAATGTCAGTCTGGCACACTTCTCAGAAGGAGATATGATACCTCCAAGCTCACCTCATCCGCAGGTCGTGAACACATTGCTGCTGCCTTGCATGACATTGCTAATGTGCCCT